TTATTGGGCCTTTTATTACCCTGCATAAAATGTTTGCTGGGTAACCTTAAAATAAAACTATCAACCGTTGAAAACTTAAAACAAAGCATACATGAGACAGTTTTTGTGCTAAAATTCATAAATTTTCTGAGACTGCGATATAAACGAGTTAAATACCAATGTAAACAAACTTTCTGTGTCAATCATTGGCATGAGCGTCCGCAGGAAAAAGTCAGGGTTTCAATCAAAAAAAATTCCAGTTTTGACATTAACTAAATTGTATATTAGTATACAAAAATAATAATAGTAAATTAACAAAATAAAAAGCCAGACGCCCATGATCATCGGTCAAAAAAAGTGATTAAAAGCTCCGCTTCCGCACCGCACTACATAACCGACACGTGCGCAATATCATACCTTCTTTTTATATCATCATGGGTTAGCTCTAGAGATAACAGGACAAGTAACTACAAACAAATATCGAGCTGTAGTGAATAAAACATGTTTTTGTTTACAAAATTATTTGCATATTGCATATATTAAAAAAGTTTAAATAATTTAACCTATTTTATTGCAACTGAACCCAAACAAATTTGAGTCATTAGTTAGGTATATCAAATTTAAAAAAAAATTGATGTAATTTAACTAGATTAGAAGTAATAATTTTTAATAAATTCCAAAATCTAGTCAATGTTAAGTTGGATAACCAGTATTTGGTACTAAATGTGGCAACAGAGCTTGCACTGGCTTGCATTTTTTACATTATTATAAGCGCACAAACGCTTACACATATGAATCGTTTATTTATGAAATATATTAAGTCACAAAAAGTTAATTTTATAGGAGAAGCAAAAACTGTTTGTGTTGTTTGCTTTCTATTTCTGGGTCTACAAATTTATGTGACAAATGAGAAGTATTAAGGAAAGTGTAGATAGATAAATTATCAATATTGTCTAACTGTATGAAGAATCCCATGCAATCTATGATCTATGATTAAAAAAAAAAATACTTAATTTGTGTTTTGGTTTGTTTATTTGTTGCACAAAAGTGATTAAAACATCATAACTCTAAAACCAATTTATTTTATTTTACCTTAGGAAATAATAATTACGAACATGTTGATATTAACAAAATATTGCGATTAGAGCTATTCTCTTCCTTGTTGGGTTGGCCAATCTCTAAAGGCATTGAAAAAATCTCTATGCTCCTCTGATAAGTACTGAAGCATCTTCATAAGATCTGCAATCTGGTCATTCAAGATTGGGAACCTTGACTGGTAGGCTTCTGATGAAGGAAGTTGAACCTTATACCGTCCTGTTTTTTTTTTTTTTTTAAACAAATGTACTACTCATAAGTCCACCAATGATATTGCTTTTAGTAACAGACCCCTTTAATGTGGAATCAAAAATAAATTCCCTATATTCCGAAATTTTGAAAGGTCCCTTATTTTTGTTCTATTAGTTTGACTATGTCATATAGAAAGGGTAGTTTTCTTCCACAGAGTAGGCCACCATTGCTGGAAATCGACAATGTCTGAAGTATCTACCAATTTCAATAAAAATTTGTGTTTCTTGCTAGAAGTGAGAATTAATTCAGTTACTTCTTTCATTGTATAGTAATGATCTGTTTGGCGTAAAACTCGTATTACAAGACCAAAATCTCGATCGTTTAGTAAAAACAAGTGACCTCTTATCAATTTTTTTTAATCGACCCATATCTGTTAGCGCCAACAAAACAAAAAACGTATCATTACATGGTTCTTGTTCTGTCCAGCACAGTTTATAGAGGTACACGAAAGAACTATTGGCACTCAAATAATCCAATGAGAAGGAACCTACCTCATTAGGTCCTTTCTTAGCAAGACCGTGGTATAAATAGAACATAGCAGTTCCATTGGCAACGTTATGAATAGAGGAAATACTGAAAGTTGTCTGTAATACAGTTCCTGTATTAGAGTGAATGGCAGATAAACATTTTGCATATCGATTCAGAAGTGATGAATTCTTACTCTCTTTGCAAATCTGCAATGTTTCGTTAATTGAACTACATAATTAATTACTTCGTTTTTTTTTGTGCATAAGTAACTCTGCAGTAGCTACTATATTTGTTATGTCACATAGAAATGCATCCTTTCCGTAATAGTGTTAGTATCTCACAACATGTATCGACTTGTGGCCTGCCAAAACGATAGTTTAAGGGATGCACTGAAATGTTCTGTCTCATTAGACGAATAATGACTAGTTTTTCGGGGGAAGGATTGAATGTGATTTATTATCAGTTGCAAAGTATTAGCAGGAATAGTTTTCGTCTTTTCTTCTGGAGTTTTTCCATGCAAAAGGAAAGTCTTCTTGAAGATTTTATTCTTTTTTTATTTAATAAAAACATAATAATGAAAGGAACTATTATGTTTTTTCAATTGTCTTTTTCTTTCCTCTCGTAAATTCCTGCGTCTGTTTGTTAGAACTGGAGTGACTTATGTTAAGCTTGGCAGGAAAATATCTTGTTTATTCTGTGTTTTAAACGAATATATTTTTTTCTACACCCACATGGATATTAGTTTATCTACAGACTACAAAACGAAAAAGTATGCTATTGCGTTCAACTGAATGAATATATTTTATATCTATTCTAGGTAGTGAGAACACTGCAAAAAAATTAAATCTGCCAATTACAGTTCATATTTTGAAACCCAATTACTGTTATTTTTAAATTTTAAATAAATGACAATTCTGTTAAATTAATTGTCAGTATATAGTTATTGGGATTAAATATACAGTATGGTTCAAATGAAAGGAATAAATTCATTATAATGGAAGTAGTTGGTTTTTCGAAAAAATGCTCGGACAGGTCAATTTTGTTTACTTAAAGCGCAATTTTTTAAATAAAATTCAATTTTCCCCCACTTCCCATTTTTGGGAAGTGACGTGATTGACAATTTTTTTATCTGGCAACCCCAATTTTTTTTCTTGATTTTGATAGATCTTTCAATTTCCTACTCGGAAACATAATATTTGAAATATCTGACATAACAATTTTTTTTTTGAAAAAAAGTCATTTAAAGATCAGATACATAAATTTTATGTTATTTTGAAACACAATAAATTAATAAAAGATAATTATTTGTAATTAAGTGCTTAATCTAAAATAATAATAATAATAATAATAATAATAATAATAATAATAATAATAATAATAATAATAATAATAATAATAATAATAATAAAAAGAATTTAATGACAATTTCACAAATTCTTTTTATTATTATTATTTTTATTATTATTTTGTTAGATTAAGCATTTAATTACAAATAATTATCTTTTATTCATTTATTGTGTTCTCAAAATAAAATAAAATTTATGTGTCTGATCTTTAAATGTCTTCTATTCAAAAAAAATTGTTATGTAAGATATTTCAAATATTATGTTTTCGAGTAGGAAATTGCAAGATCTATCAAAATCAAGAAAAAAAATTGAGGTTAACATTTAAAAAAATTGCCAATGACGTCACTGCCCAAAAATGGGAAGTGGTGGAAAATTAAATTTTATTTAAAAAATTGCGCTTTGAGTAAACAAAATTGACCTGTCCGAGCATTTTTTCGAAAAACCAGCTACTTCCATTATAATGAATTTATTCCTTTCATTTGAACCATACTGTATATTAAATTGAACTACTTTTTTGTAGAATCGATAAATAATAGCATTTTAATTTTTTTTTTGTTCCACATTTTGAAAACAAATTTAAATCAAATAATTTCATTACGAGTATTAAAACAAAAATTGTAAAAGCGGCCGTGGAGCTGTAGACAAAGCTTTTGCGTTCCACGCGAAAAATCCAGGATAGAATCCTGGCTGGGGACTAATTAAATTAATCTGTTTATCTGTTTTTTTCATGTTTATTTTATTTTATAAATCATTAAAACTGATAAATTATTTTAAAATTAGTTATTTTATCTTAATAACCTAAAATATTTTTTAAAAATGTAGATGTTCGTCAGTGGGTCGTAGAAAAAATATCCTGTATAAATCTAGTGGATTATCCATATCCACTCTTGTTGCACAAATTACTATTGTAAAGCAGCTTGACGGTCTTCTTCTCTTATTGTCTTACAACTAAAACAAAAATGTTTAGTAAAAATACCTATGTTACTGAAATAATTTATAAGTACTTGCAAGGATCTCCAGATTTCTTAGCATAAACTGTATTGCCTTTGTAGTTGACGTATTCCTCCCTAGCACGTTTTATTCTCTTAACCTTATATTCAGCCGCATGTAACATACCTGTTCTTCTTCGTTTATTAAGATTTTCATCACCATTTTCACCCATAATGAACTATGATTATAGAAAAGAACACGCACGAGGTACATCAAGCAGCAACACACCAAAAAACATAGCTGTCACAGCGCTGATCCCATGTTTATTTGTGAAATATATTAAATCGGCGACTTAATATGTTTCATAAACAAGCAGGATTTGTAGATAGTCTGTAAGTTGACCTAGGTATTTGGTTATGTTCGACAAATTGGTGACTTAATGTTTCATAAATTAGCGGTTCATATATTCATTGATAAAAAATGTTTGCATCGCCATAATATCCGTCTGTGTATGCCCTCTCTTACCTCTCACCACACGCATCCTCACTCCAGCCTACAACTGGAGCGTATTGACTGTCGAATTGTTATTGGCATCACTGGTAGCATGAATATTATATTTTATCAATGAATAGCTACATCTTCGAAAATACTATTCAACTTCTACTATTCAGAATATATTTTAAAGTTTATACCGTCCGCGCGGAACGAGAGGAAGCGAGTATGGCAGACAGAGGAGAAATTTTCTTTTCGGGAGAGGTCCTGTTTGCTCTAAATACTACAATTAATTAATTTTTTACAGCAATTATTTGAAAACTATTGCGAATTTAAATAATTCTGTGGGACCGCCTCTGAAAATCTAATAATAATCATATTATTTGGCTCGTATTGTACGATATATTAATAGTAGATTATTTGGACTTTCTGTGCCAGGTCACCGGGCACATAGCGTCTTTATCGGTGTTCACATACCCGTCGGCAGACGGCATTCACACCGTCGCCATCATCATCGTCATCGCAGCCCCGGTAAAGCTGGGATCACCAATACTTCCGGCACTCACGAAGAAAGTAGGCCCAGTAAGTTTGTGTCTAGAAGTATTTTGTGTGGAAACACGTTAGATATAATTGCATGCGGAATGTGACACATATCTAATATTCGTGTAGTAATTCATATGCATGCAAATAAAGTAAAAATTAGTTCAAATTGGGGAATATATTATTTTAATTCTTGTGTATTTATGTAATTGCAGTTATTATAGTTATTTATGTATTTAATGAACTAGTCTAAGATTATGAGCCGAGCGAGTGAGGCGAGTAATAAACGAGTTCGATAAAGACAATTTGCTGACGTGTTGCGTACATACCTTTATCACCAGCCTTAAAAATTTATAATTAAAAAATGGAGAATTCTAACTTATCACATTTTATGATGATTTCTTCCATTTTGTTAAAGTTTTTATTCTTTAAAGTCATTTTTTTGCTAAAAGGGATGCTTTTACCATGGAATTATGTTACCACATCCAAGAAGGAGTATAATACTCTTTTGATAAATTTGAAAAATACGTCACTAAAATGGTTTCACTATATTTTTTAATTGCGTGTTTTTTGCACCACTCTTTGAATATGTCAAACTGGCGATTGTATTTTTCGACTGATTTTTGTAGTAGAATTTCGAAAGACGTCTCCAACGACTTCTTTTGAATTTCTAGCAGCGTGCACTGCATGTCTTTCATTATTTTCTATAAATAATTCACGCCACAACTTTTACTGTTAAAACCATGTCAGTAACAAACGATTTATGTTTAATATCAGTAGAGACAACCCAGCGAGACGTGTAACCCAATGTTTTTTTTTTGTTCGGCAAAAGTTGTTAGGGCGATTGTAATGGCAACCAGTATATGATGGCGCCACTAGTCAATTTTCTTCTTTTCTTACTGCTGTGCGTATTAAGTCATAAATAGTGGGAAAACTTAAAAATGTTGAGGGCAGAAAATTCAAACATAGATTCAGATAGTTTTTCTATACTTTACAGGAGGAACAAAAACTATTGTTTCATTATATATTAAAAAATGTAAAAGCTTCCAATAACATTAAATTTTTTATCATACAAATAATTAATTTCAATGAAGGAAGTTTTAATCAGGGGCGGCTCTTGACCAAAATTTTGGGGGTTCACAGTAGCAGAATATAGATCTCAGTACAGATATAGGTAAAAAACTGTCGGTGTTTTAAAAAGGTATATTATAAACTTTTCAAAACACTAAAAGTTTGTACTGTTACATATATTCTGTCACTGTGAACCCCCCACGAGCCGCCACTGGTTTTATTCATAGTTTAATATACGCAGTGAACATAGTTTTTATTACTCTTGTAAATTTCGCTAACAAAAAAACTTCAAAATTAAGTTATTATTAATATTTAAACTTGAAAAAATAATACACCAGACTCTTTTTTATAAATTGTATTTTTTAAGGTACAGAAAACCAAACTGCAAGTACTACGTTTAGAAATTACCTCGTTCTGCTCTTTTTACTCGAAATCTTTCTTTTAGTACATCTACTTCCTCTATCGGATCTGTCTGTGGTCTTTTAACGCAGCGATACAGTCTGTTTATTCTATATTCCAGAGCTTTAGGAGTAAATAATCATTTTGTGACAAATTACAAAGATATGAAGGTATAATTGTTATTTAATTGAAAAGTATTACAAAACCAGGAAAAATAAAAAAAAATGTAACACATAGTTTATAAAGTATAGGTAATGATTGTTTATTTTAATAGAAACCATGGAAACGAAACAAACAGGCACACACAGAGAGGTATAAGGCCGTTTCTTTTATCTAAGATAAGGCCCAAGTCAGGTAAGTTCCCATCCTGTAAACTGGATTGAAACCTGCTAGACCCTTTCCGTCCATCCCCCCTGCTAACTCCTCTTAGTATAATCAAGATCAATGTATGTATATGCCATGCCTTCTAAAAGGGAATGAAGGATGACATAATATCATCATTTAAACAGGACGTTGCTGAAGGCTTACCCCTGTTATGTCGTCTGTTTATGTATTTTGTCAGTGTGCATTCCTGTTGTGTCCCCAGCCATATAAAGTTATCCTAGTCTCCTAATTTAGTGACTAGGTGGACCTTCTCCAATTAGTCATCTAATCTATTCGATTCCGCTCTGCAGCAGGAGGTACTTTTCAAACGTAGCAAATAATAATTAATAATAAACACTATTTAAAGATGAATTGATTTTTGTAATTTTTTTGTCGTTGTCCCTTACTTGTCTCTTATGCCACCAGGGTACACCTATTTTCCATACTCCCTTGATTATAGATTACCTTACCATATTTGAATGCATACATTATTTTACCCATGATAAATCTAATTTCGAATTTAACTCTTTTTTAATTTCATTCGAAACAATTGGTATATTACAAATTATTATCAAGGAAATCTTCTAATAAAGGTATAGCAGAATAAATTAACTTTTATTGAGATTGATCTCTCTCTAAAATCCAAAACCGACCTGGCCTTTAGTGATTCAATTTTTTCTCTTCATTTAAATGACTCTACAATCTTCTAATAGCCACTAAAGTGACTATAAGAGGTAGAAAGAAACGTGTACGGAAACGCGAGTTTGGTTCCAGAAACTGCTTCTTGTAAAAAATAATATGCCAAAATAAACACTACCCCCTCTCCTTAAAAACTAATTAAACAACAAAATCAGATTCAAAGAAATAAACGGGGCCAAAATTAAATTAATTTTAATAAAATGCTCACGTTCATAACAGCATTCATAACATTGTCAGTTGTAAGTTTTAATCCATACGTCACACGTCGACGTCAAAAAACCAGCGACATTAGCGACCTCTAGGGCTGGTGTTAGTTTTATTGGAGAGAGATAAATATATGTAAAGGTCAATGTAAAAGAGAAAGTCAGATATGTAATTTAAATGGACCACCGAACAAATTTTCCTATTGAGTTACACGTCTCTTTTGTCTCTTTTATTATCCTTCAATTATGGGTGTGTTGATAAATATTAGCGGCAGATAAAATGTTTGATTTTTACGGTAAAATTAGGTGTTTGTTGACTTCTGAGAATTACTATAGTAATTCATAGCTCTATTGACGATTGGCGATAAAAATAAATACATTTATTTAACGATACATAATAGCTTCATAACAAAATGTATCCACTTTGACCGAAAACAACCTAAATACACTAACTTTCTAGTTCCTTTAAAATCTTTAAAAAATCATTAAATTTTATTGCTTAAAATTGAAGTGAATCAAGTTAATTCTCTTAATTCTATCGTCAAGGATCTTTAAGTTCAAAATTGCCAATTAGATGTCTGAGAACCATCATTTTGTCAATTTAAGCGTATTTAAAATAGTGCATGTTCTGTCTTCTAGTATTTAGAACAAAATGAATGTCCATGTTAAATGAGGTTAGATATTTGTATAGGTATTTTTAAATATTTATTAGATGCGTGTAACCAATTATTTTTCTATATAACCTACTTTTCAAACGAATTTTTTATTTTATTCAAGTTATTAAAGTGTTCCTTTCGAATTTTAGATTAATTATTTCATATTTACAGTTGATTCTAATTATCAAAAAAGCGAAGGTATGGAAACGTAGGAGGGCCACAAAATATTTTTGTTTATTTTTCTAACTTAGAATTCGGAAAAATCGATTTTTCCGACTTTTTACTTCCCTATAAAAGGAAAGTATTGTAATTGTAAAAAAGTCACCTTCCGTCCGTCCGTCTATCTGTCTTTATGTCTGTTGGCGCGATAGCTCAAAGACGGCTTTATAGAAAAACATAAAATTTTGTATGCAGATAAGGTTCCTTTCTGGCTCAACACCAGTTACTTCCGATCCGTTATATACAGGGTAAACAGTTTTTAAAATAAAAATTATTTTTCAAAATCGGCAGATATCGACTAAAATTAGTAACTGAGAATTTTAGAAGTCAAAGATTACAAATCCTAAATAGGTTTTTCAAAATTCAAAATGGCACTGAGAGGATCGTTTTATTGGTTTGTGTAACTGGACCATTTTAAAAGCAGTTAATCATTATTATTCAATAACGGTGATCGTGACGAAGAATAACGAGTGGACGCGAAGTGAGAATTCAGGTAGGATCAAGAGGAAGATCGATGGAGAGAGAAATGTGAAAGTGTTTTTGATTTGGTGGTTTTAATTTTAAATTATTAAAATTTAAGTGCTTAGGAGTTCCCTGTTTTAACAATTCCTATATCGAAGAAGGTTCTGGGTAAAATACTTTACCGATATTTGTAATAAATACACCGATAGAAGTAATTTTGATTATTACAATCTAATCAATAAGCAACTTTATTCAACCCAAGTTATCTATGGTTGGAAAACTTCATAAATCAATGTCCTACATATTAGTGTATCCTAGAGTCTAATTATTGAGTTGCACTTCCGTTAACTTAAAACATAATCACTCTGATTTTAAGTAATATTACTGAATCAACTCAAAATGCTTGGATCTTTTGAGTCTTCTTACTAGATTGGCGTTGTTGAGGAACTAGATAACCTCAACGCTCCCGTGTTGGAGCAGTCGTTGATCGTAATTACTGGCAAATTTTGCTGATGTCTCTTTAACAGTCTTCACCTTAATATTTTATTTAAGAAACTGTCAATAACTTGGATCTTACTTTTACTAGTACTGCCCAAATCTGAATAACATACGTGCAGCGACGAAGTCTAGCATCAAGTATCATACCCAGATATTTTGCGGGATTCACATTAGGTACACGAGTCGTTTATTCTAATGGGAATATATTAATATGAAAATACCTTGTATCCATGAAAAATTTAAATTTTGACCAAGACTCTCAAAGGGGTCGTTCTCTAAAATTTACAAATTATTAAACACCAATCTTTATATCCAAATTTCAGTTGTTTCAAGAGTTTAACTCTTCAATTTTTCGAAGTGACATAAGTTCACTATTATTTTAATATTAACACCTTTCAGGAATGCTTGTTAATGGTTTTATAAGCCGAAAAAGCCCGCATAATTAGTTGTTATTAACGTAGGTACTAAACTT